AGCAGATCTGCCTAGTCCCCTCTCAGAACTGAAGACAGGCAGGAAACCCACTCCAGGAAGACCTGACAGAGCGCAGGGACAGAGGCCCGCCCTGCAAGCCCCAGTCCCTCCAAAGGAGAAGGAAAGAAGCAATGCCACCACAGGACGGAAGAAATGTACCCGAATTGCCCACAAATCATGGGACCAGGCGAGAACAAAAAGAGGGAGCCTCCCCCCATCACCCTGCTAACAGAGCAAACCGTGAAAGGTCCGACAACCCCTACGAGAGCCCGACTGAAACTCACGAGCCATCACTGAGCCAACGATTCTGCAGGAGGGCCAGTCCCAAATCTGTCACTACTGGCTTATAACGACTGAAGGAACCCTGAGACCTGGTGCGACCCTTCCGGGCAGGACCTCCACAGCCCCCCTCCCGGAGAACCTACAAGTTCAATGTAGGACGCCAACTAGACGAAGCTGCCTGCAGAAAATGCACCACGCAGACTTTGCAATCAGCAACGGACAAAAGGGGATGAAAAACTATTCCAAAAGGGTCCAAAACGATTCCAAAAATATAGGGAGGCCACCTCCCTATATTTTCTGAGGGAAGCCACTGCTTCCCTCAGAAACGGAGCGTACAACTTCAACAAGGCAGCCAGCATCCGAGCTGCCGCAGCAAGCACACCAGACACTGGCCCGGAACCCAGCTCCTTCACACCCACCACGAGCCAGTCCGACGACAGCTCCTGTAGGGAAAAGAAATGCAAGACCAAAGCCAAGTGTTCAAGGGCGTCCAAATCCTTGGCTGCCCAAATTCTTGGCCGCCCAAATCCTTGGCCACCAGGGATGCCGAAAAGGAGGGAACTTGCATGTGAAGCCGCTCCTGGCCAACATCATAAGGAAGGATGGGGGTGAACAAGCACGCATTGAGGTGCTCCAACTTGCCCCCCCAGGAAATCTGAACAACCGTAGTCAATTCTTGCAATTCCAGTGCGCAGTCCAACAGGACGAATGCCAAGCCCCCAACGAAAGAAAAGGCAGTCTACCAGCCAGGAAGACTCCGGCACGTTGTAATGCACCCAAAACGGAAAAAGGGGAGCCAAACTCATAAGAAGAAGGCTTCATTATCAAGGCGTAATCCAGGTCTCGCAGGAGGTAAGCTGCAAGGGCCTCCTACACCTTCCTCTGTGGGATGCAGGAAGCCAAAAACCTCCAGAAGGAGGGAATCAAAGAACCCAAGGGAACTTGGAACCGAACCCAGGGAGGAGTCGAACTCATAACAAAATCATACAGGGAGGGGATAGGAAACGTCTCCCCCTGTAACAACAAACCCCGCACCGAGGATACCAAACATCTAAGCAGGGACAAATTGGGCCAGGGGCCCCCCAAGTCAACTCCTCAATAGCCCCGGAATCCTCCACGTCAAGACCCGGGGCCGAGCCGTCCTCCAACTCCTCTGCCTCTTGAGAAAAAGCAGAGTCCACTGGAAAAGTAGGGATGAACGGGGCCTCGCTGGCGTGGCCCAAAAGCTCCAGCAGGAGGACCCGGCTCGAATGCCTCCACCACCGCTCCAGAAGGGGCAATCCCCAAAGCCGCCCGAGTCTCACTAGCAGTATAATTCAGTAGGGCAGCTGAAGGGTATCCGCAAAGGCAACCAACCTCGCACGTTGCAGCAACCTAAACCTCGCATGCAGCGCTAAAGCTGCCTGCACTCAATTATCAGTCTCAGTGGACTGGGTGAATGGAGTACAAGCAAAGAACACCACTCGCAGGACTACAGGTCAGAGGTGTCACTGACCCCAACAGGCAGCAAGGCGAAGGCAGAAGGTGAGTGTCACCCTGAGACAAGGGGACAGAGCAATCTTCAAATTCACACAAGGCGAGGTGGGACTGAGAGGTCTCCTCCATTGGACCACTGAGCCCCAAAGGGGGTTTCCAGGGCCCTTCGGCTGACTGCTAAAGAAAGCCCAGGCAAGGTACTGCTAACAGGTTATCCCAGAGCTACCAAGCAAACAACTAAAAGCTGAGTGGAGGGCCACCAAAATCCTACAAGTGGTCCTACCGCCACACTAGGCAGACCCCCACCAGGCAGACCCCCACCAGGCAAATCAAAATAAAAACAAAAGAAAAACCCCACTAAGGCACAACGTCTCCAGGTGAACAGAACCGGTCGCTATGTGTATATCAGACAGCTGCACAGTTCCTCGTGCCCCAGCCAGCAACGAAACTACCTCCTACCCAAGAAAAAAAAACAGGAGAAAGGCCCTCCCCAACTGATCCCCCAAGGGCGGGCAATCACCGAGCAGTGACAGAACCACATGGAGGTAATTGCCCCTGAACGGCTCATGGAAGTTAAATGGAAGATAACCCTGAAGCCACAAAGGCAGTACTTACGGGGCACCTAGGGAAGGTAGCCCTAAGTGCATGCAGCCCCAGTACTCCTGTGTTACTCACAAGACAAGGCTCACACACCACCAACACAGAGCAACAACACCGCACTGCAGCACTGCGCAAAGAGTGGAGCCAGAGCGATTGACCGTCACTAACACAACAGCCTCTTGAACTGAGGAGAGTTGCCGGCGTGGAGGTCTGGAACCCCCCATCCTCCTCCTGGGGAGGGGGAGGTTGTGCAGACAGATGCGCGGCGGTTGTGGTGACGTCATGTTTGTTTCCTTGTTTTGATTGGGGAGTTCTGTTTGCTAGTTCGGCTTTCGGTTTGCAATTTTTTGACCAGCAATAGTTTGTTTTGAAATTCCTACCTTTCTGGGTGCTTGACCTGGTAGATGGCAGACAAAGACTGCTTCCAATTACACGACGGGGATGTCTATAGGCCATTGCTCCTCGTTCTTCTCTTGAGGGGGCCAGGTTCTGACTCTGGTCCCTGGTAGGCTTAGAACTCCTTCGATTGATTGTTGCCACGGTCTAATATATACACATCAGCCCGGTATAGCTCTGGGGAGCCGAAGGGGCTCTCCAGAGAGAAGAATTGTTTTCTTCTTCATTTCTGTTCCCATTTAGACATTTTACTTCATCAAGGTTTGTTTTCAGCTATTCTCTGTCTTCCTTAGAGAGGTCTTGTCTTATTGACCAAAGTTTGCCTTCTTCATCACTGCAATTTCCTGGCATTTCTTAGCACTTCTGTCATCTGGATGTCACGAGACACCATCACATGTGTCTGGGTCAGTTGGTTTTTTTCTGGCAAGGTTAGCACCAATTGATGAAAAGAAGCTATTAAATTCAGTTGCCATTTTTAAGTCTGTCTTAAGTGTGTAACCATCCTTGGAGAGTTTTATCTGCTCGTTATGTGATTGTTGTTTAGATCCTAGGATGTTAGAGATGGCTTTCCATGTACTTTTCATATTTCCTTTTGCTTTTTAAATAATGAGTGCTAGGAAGATGGGACACCACGAGCATAGCTCTCATCCTGTAACTACACTTAGGTAATTACCTAACTACCATACGAATAGAACCACCAGTATGTTGAGCAGTGTTTCTACATGTAGCTTCAAATGATTGAGCGGAGATCCTGATGTATTGAATGACAACACAGAGATCCCACCTGCTACATGCCCAACATCAAAATCCACAAATCACCGGCACACGTTTTCTTCAACCGCCAGTGTTCTAATATTTCCTGTTCAAGTTGTATCCCCAACTTATTTCTTTCTGTAGCTCATAACTGATTTCCAACATTTAAAACTGATTTTTATAACATGTTTACCAGTCACAGAATGTACTTGGGACTCTCTGTTTGCCTTCATGGGTCTTTATTTACATAATTTTAGAGGGGAGCATTCTCACACTGTAACCATACACTGCGCATGTGCAAAACCTGCCCACTGCACTGGTGGGAGTTTTGAATGTTTTTTCCCTTTCAAACCAATACAGTTTCAATTGTTCATTGTCAGTTAACAAAGATATTACACATTATTTCCAAAAAGTACCACTTCCCTTACATTGAAACTCTAACTTCATAATGTATATTGACATTAAATCTGCCATTATACAGTTTCTCTAGTGCAGTATTGGTACAGATGAATTGCTTCATGTTTAATGTTCTTGTTAATTCACTGGTGATCTTACATAAAAACTTCACATAAAGAATATATATATGCTTATTGTTTTCCACTGAACCGTCTGTATTAAGTTTTAGAAATTTTCTGTATGTTAACTTATTAATTAGGTATATAAGTAGTGAAATTTAGTTGAATTTCAAATAAATAAAAAATGCTGGTGTTTAACTTGAAATTTATCTTTTGATTATTGCAATTTATACATTGTTATTAGTTCTCTATCATCAGATTGATCAAGAGGATAAAATTTTGTTTCACTTCATCAGCTAATATAAGCTTGCTTTACATTCAGTTTTTCTTACTACACTATACTCGAACCAAAATTTTATCATTGGAATCTTCAATTACAATCCTTCCAAGATACAATCATTGTGTCATGAAGCAGCCCATCAGTCTGTGTGTAAAAAATAAAAGAAAATGGGCATACTATATAAATTTATTTTTATACACCCAACTTCAATTTACTTGTGGTCTTTGTTTCCTGTTTTCTGATCTTCTTAATTTGTTTTCCTGTTACTGTACAATTATGTATCCCAACCCCCCAAAAGTGTGCCCTTAACTTTTATTCCTAAAATATCTGCTTAACAATATAGATTGTACATGGTACTGTATATCCTTTCATTACTTGTAATTAAATGTTTGGTAAACTAAAATCTATGAAAATTAACTATACTTGCGACAGTGTAATTCATAAAATGTCATATTATTAAAACTAAATATTTCTCTAACTATCTTTAAAATAACTTAGCTGGTTTGTCACCATAACCTATAGTGACACTTTCTAATCAGTTTTCCTTCTTCATGAATGAAACTTTTAAATCTGTATTATCATCTAACAGTTAAATAATTTTGTCATTCTTATACTTAATCCATCATGTTCCTCCACTGTTCCCTATCTAGACTGGCTCTCTCTTTTGCAGTCTGAATTTAATTTGCTCACTTTGGCAGGCTGTTCAATCTCGGGACCTGAGGGCTGCAACCTTTTCATCTACCACCTGCCGCAGGAGTTCGGTGATGCTGAACTGATGCAGATGTTCCTTCCTTTTGGAAATGTGATCTCCTCCAAGGTGTTCATTGACAGAGCTACTAACCAGAGCAAGTGTTTCGGTGAGATCTCCTTCATTCAGTATATTATGTTTTTTCCCTGAGCTGATTATTTTCTTTCACTTCAGTTGCACAGTATGAGGCTTAGGAGCTTAAGTGAAGTTTCAGTGTTCTTTCCCAAAATTTTTATATATGGTTGTTATGGGGGGAATATTATGTAAGGAATGGCTATATAGCACCTGAATGGGATTTGAGAATAGAACAGGGAACCTGGATATTAAGATAGAGTGAAGAAATAATGCCCAACCACTTAAACTATAAGAGACATGAAGTAGTATAAGGGCCTTGAAGTTCCATAAGGGCCTCCAGATATGCCACAAGGGCCCTAATATGCCAATGAACTAAGTTGCTATAAGGGTAGCAAACCAGGTGGTGCTGAACCAGCAGTGTATATTTTGATGATGGTGGTGATTTCCTTAATCCACGCAATACATACATATACAATGAGAGTAACTGTCCCGAAATCTCACAATACATGCATATACAATTGAGGGGTCTACCGCATGATTTTAAATACCTCGTGAGGGATAGAGGCAGCTATAGTCTAGCCAAGGCCGATAGTAAAGAGAAGAGAACTTGAAAAAAATCGTGAATAACATATCTGGGTGAGAGAGGCTCAGTACTGAGCGAGCAACCAAGGCTGCCGCATGCAGCATGAGCTAACAGCACTGCTGTTCAGCTTGTGAACACAGCATTGCCTAAAAATGTAACAATATATATGAACCTGATATTATTTAGTGATGATAGTATTAGAGAAGACCCCTGACTGTGATGAAAATGAACAGGAGTCTGATAATAGCAGGAATGTGGTGATATTTAGCGCTGTGCTCTATGGTGGGGGGAGTAGTGCTGAGGGAGGGAGGAAGGTGGTGTCGTCTTCTGACTCTGTGTGGCCACCTTTTATTGATTGGACTTACCATACCAGCTTAGTGGTTCGCTATGGTGAACACAAATGTAGATACTTATATTTAACATGTATATAGAGTGTAATAACAGCAATAGTAGTATGCTGGGAGAAGCCAATTTTGGTGAGATAGGTGGCGGTGTCTGCATGACATGTCATGTTGTGTACTGGTGGTCACTATAATCTTTGGGCACCATACCAGCTTATTTGTACAGTTATGGTGAATAAAACATATAGATTCTTATATATAATGTGTGTATATAGTATAATAACACCACAAACAGTATTGTTGGAGGAGAAATACTAGTACATCTGGCCTTGAATCAGTGAGGGAGGAAGCCACCAGCTGACTGTGTGTGTAGCTACGTCTTATATTGCCTGAACTCATCATACCAGCTTAGATGTACAGTTATGGAGAACAAAACATGTAGATACTTATATATAGAGTCTGTATATAGTGAATAAAAGCAAAAACAGTATGGTTGGAGGAGTATGTTGGCGAGTGATGAGGTGAGGAAGGGAGTGGCGGCCAGTGGCTGGCTGGCTAGTGTGTGGTGGCCACTCCTTGTTGCTTTTTGACTCACCATTCCAACTTAGTGGTTCGTTATGGTGACTTAAACATGCAGATACTTATATATAACCTGTGTATATATTATAATAACAGCAAAACTATTTGTTTATTGTTTTATGAACATAATAATTGATTCATTAATATGCACACCTTAATTTTGAATACAGTATAGCGATGGTTCACACATTTTATACACACTTGGACTCCATGTACTTAGCTGTCTGTGGGTGGCGGTCTACATCATCTGGCGGTAGTTTGAGGGCTGAAATACAGCTTAGAGTGAGGAGCGTAGCGTGCACTCAACCGCGTCTGACGACAGACGATTGATTGACCTAAGACGATTTTCATAGGTTAAACCTTGTCAATGGCTTTCTTGAGACCCATGGCAAGATATATAATAACAACTTTTATGCTCAAATGGCCAAAAAACCGACATAAAACTGTAAATCCTTGTGAAGAATTCAGGAGGGATAGTCACTGGGCGGGAGACAATGGTAAACTGAGGGGCGGAGGGGCGACGATCGCCGTACCACCACGCGCTAGGTCGGCCTGAACATGTATCAACAAACTCACATTCCGAGGTAACCCTTGCCTTCCGAAACACATTTTCCGAGGAAATCCGGCTCGTATTCCGAAAAACTCGCGTACAGGGACACTCGTGTTCCGAGGTACCACTGTATAATGAACACGTACACTATATTATGGCAGTAAAACATCCGTACTGTCTGAGAACACTGTGTTACGTGCATGACACTTATGTACACATATGTTGCACATATTTGGCATGTATCATGCTAATTTATATATATTCTATTTACAGACTATACACTGTCACACACTATATACATTCACCATCAACATATTCAGAACACCGCGAGTGTGAGCAGCCACACTCAGCCAGCCCTCCCTCACTCCAACATCTTACTCTCCAACATTGCTCCTCCCACCATACTGTTATTGTATTTATTACACGATTTACACATGTTATATATATCCCTATCTACATGTTTTATTTACCAGAACTATGCAAGTAAGCTGGTGTTGTGTCCAAACAGTACAGTGGCCACCATACACTGCATGACAAATCACACAGCAGACGACGCCACGATTACAACATCACCTCCCTCACCAAAATAGCTCCTCACAACATACTCCTGGTGCTGTTATTACACTATTAACACACACTGTATATACCCATGTACATGTGTGTTCCCCATAGCGAACCACGAAGCTAGTACGGTGAGCAAAACAAGAGTTACTGCCACACAGTGAGGCTACCTCAATTCTCTCCCTTCCTCCCTCCCTCACCAAAATTCCTCCTTCCTACGCACAACGCTCATTATAACCACAATCCTGGTCACTAATACCTGTAAATGAATAATTGACCACAAGTTTATTTTGAAAAGGAACCTAAAAAGTTGTTTGAAGATTCCTAGATGGACGAAATAATGCTCTGGTGCTGTTGCTAGCGCTGTGAACATCGTGAACAGCATTGAATCACTAATATTTGAACATTGTACCCAGTCATTATCACACTCGGGCTCTTCTATAATACTATCATGGCTAAATAAAACAGATTATATATATATTTTGACAATATTAGGTGATGCTGGAGTCACACGCTGAACAGCACTGCTGTGCACTCATGATGCGAGCGCCAGCCTTGGTTGCTCACTCGCTACTGAGGCTTTGACACCCGGCAATGTGGACCATGATTTTTTTTTAAGATGGCGTCTGTTTACAAGAGCCCTGAAGAAGCTGATGTGAACCCCATGTAGCCGCGGGAGTTTTGAATGGAACGTGAAAAATAAAAACATCTGGAGGCACGTTGTGCACCCGAAGCCTGGGCCTGCAGGCGCGTTGCGCAGTTAAAGGGTTAATTCTTAATTTAAACACGCCGCGTGGGATAGGGGCAGCTATAGTACAGCCACAACCGAAAGTTGAGAGACACAACCTAGAAAAAAAATCATGGCAAACATTCCTGGGTGTGTGAGCTATTTATTGAGCGAGCCACCAAGGCTGACACATGCACCATGAGCGCACAGCACTGCTGTTCAGCTTGTGACTACAGCATCGCCTAAAAATGTCAAAATATATATGTTCCTGCTATTATGTAGCGATGATAGTATTACAGAAGACCCCTGACTGTGATAAAACTGACCCGGATTCTGATAGCAGGATTGTGGTGATATTTAGCGCTGTGCTTCATGGACGTAGGAGTAATGCTGTGGGAGGGAGGGTGGTGGCGTCGTTTTCTGACTGTGTGTGGCCACCTTTTATTGACTGCACTTCCCATACCAGCTTAGTGGTTCACTATGGTGAACACTTATGTAGATACATATATATAACGTGTGTATATAGTGTAATAACAGCAATAAGAGTAGGTTGGGAGCCGCCATTTTGGCGAGGGAGGTGCGTCGTCTGCACGACTTGTCATGTTGTTTACTGGTGGCCACTATGGTCTTTGGGTACCATACCAGCTTATTTGTACAGGTATGGTGAATAAAACAGGTAGATACTTATATATAATATGTGTATATAGCGTAATAACACTATAAATATTATTGTTGGAAGAGAAATATTAGTGCGTCTGGCCTTGAGAGTAGCCGCTACCAGCTGACTGTGTGAGTAGCTATGTCTTTGTGCCTTTACTCACCATACAAGCTTAGATGTACAGTTATGGTGAAGAAAACATGTAAATACTTATATATAACATCTGTGTATAGGGAATAAATGCAAAACAGTATTGTGGAAGGAGAATGAGGGCGAGTGAGGTGTTGTTGAGGGAGGGAGTGGCAGTGAGTGGCTGGCTGGTGTTTGGCGGTCAGTCCTCGTTCCATTTTGACTCATAATACCAACTTCATGGTTCGTTATGGTGAGCAAAACATGCAGATATTAATATATAACCTGTGTATATAGTATAATAACAGCAAAATTATTTGTTTATTGTTTTATGAACATAATAATTGAATCACTAATATGCACACCATAATTTTGAGTGCAATGATGGTTCATACAATTTATTATATAAATACAGTCACAACACACACTATTGAATAATATTACTGCAAAAAAAAGCAAAGTAAAAATCAATAAGAGACATTTAAATAATTAGGTAATAATATATTTGTGCCAACTGCTGCCTGACAGCTCGGGCGGAGTAGACCTCGTCTGGCGAAGGCTCTGTCAATGCCCCTTTTTGCCAGATTTCCCTACCCTACTGCGGCTAAAATATGCCACCTACAATTTTTTCCATTATCAGGGAACACAAATGAACACTGTTATAAGACGAAAGAATTTTTTTGAATTTTTTTTTTGTTGCACCTGTGAGTGTTAAAGCCATTATGACTCTTAGCGGCCCAAGCATTAACATTTTTAAGTGCGCAACACATCATATGATGTGTTCAGTGACTTGTAGTGATTTGCGCTCCACATCATATGATGTATTGGAGTACTACGCAAGATTTAAACGGCCCGCGGATACACGGGGTTCACCACACCTTCATCAGGGCTCTTGTAAACAGACGT